TGGATGTGTGAATGAGTAGAAAAATGGAGAAGCATAAGGTATTGAAGTAGTTTAAGCATCAATAATGGATTGGCCAGGTGATAACAACGAAGATGGAAGAAAATGGTTTGAGTTTGAGAAATTTATGTCTGTGTGTCTTAAGTACATTGACTGCATTTGCTTGATGCTCAAAAATATAGGCTGAATTTCTTTGCAAAGCAGAGAGTAATTCAAGACATAGGGGCTGGGGTGGATTAGATTGTCTGGGACAAAGAGATTTTGAAGAGCAAAGGAAGAGTATTTTCTTTCCACACAATTTCCTGAGAGGCTTAATGACATTCTACCAACAAATCCAATGAGTACAATTTGTTTCATTTTTTTTTTCTAAATCCACTGTTGTATTATGACATACTTTCCAGTATTTTTGTGATCTCTGTCTAGGTTAGTGTTTCTCTATTCTCCTAATGCTGTGACCTTTTGTTAAGTTCCTCATGCTGTGGTGACCCCACCACCACCATAAAACTATTTTTGTTGCTACTTAATAACTGTAATTTTGCTATTGTTACAAATGGTAATGTAAATATCTGTATTTCCTGATGGTCCAAGGCAACCCCTGTGAAAAGGGTTGTTTGATTCCCAAAGGGGTTGTGACCACAGGTTGAGAATCACTGTTCTAGGTTTTTCTTCCTTTTTGGTATTCAAGAATCTTTGTTGTTCCACAGGCAAGGATCAGGACTCTGGGCTGTCAGTAATGATATCTGGAATGGATGTATTCCCTAGTGTCTGTAAGTGATTAAAAAATTTTGGAAGCTGCTGGCCCTATAATGTGATGGATGTGAAAAGCAGTCCATACTGCTGTCTCAGAAAGGGATTACAAACAAGTGCAGAGCAAGTACAAAAGCCCTGAGGTGGGAATGCTCTTGTAATATTTGAAGAACAAAATAGAAAGGGATGCAGAGATGGCTCAGCAATTAAGAGCACATACTACTCTTGTAGAACTGAATTCAGGCCCCATATCATGTGGGTCACAGCTTCCTGTAATTCCAGCTCCAGGTAATCTGTCCATCTCTTCTGGATTTTGAGGAACAGAGCACATATCCACATATAGACTCACATGTATATACATAATTAAGAATGAAAAGTAATTTAAAATAAAGAACAAGAAAGAAAACTATAACTAGTATGAGATGATCAAGAGGCCAGGTGTAACAAATGAGGTTGCAGAGATAACAGAATAGAATTATAGAATTTATTTTTTAATGATTCTTCTGCAGATTATTGTAAGGACTTTGTGCTTTAAGTTGAGTGAAATTGATAACCACTGGAAAATTATGAACAGAGGACTGTTTTCAACTCATGCTCTTCACCAGTCTTCCTTGGGCTGCTATGTGAATAATAGACTGTAGTAGGGTAAGGGATAGCAAGAGTGGCTATAGGAAGACCAGTTTTATCACAATAACCCAGGTGATAATTAACACTGGAGAACACCAGTGTTTTAACATTGAAGGTGTTGAAAAGTTGTCAGATTATTGTTATACTCTGATGAAAACATAATTTTCAGATAAATGAAAGGTGGAGTAAGAGAAGGAAAGAATGACTAAGCTTTTGTTAGGAATACATAGGAAAAAGTTACCATTTACCCAGGAGAATGGTATGTCATGCCTTGAAGTAGATTAGGTGCCTAATTTGTGACAGATTAAATTTGTGACACTAATGAACAATACAATGGAGATGACAGGTAAGTAGTTGGTTATAAAAGTCTGGAGTCCATGGGTAATAAATGACCTGGACATAGCCATCTAGGGCTTACTGGCTTAGAGATGGTTCTTAAAACCACAGAATGGCTGAGGTCACCAAGGGATATAAATGAATAAAAGATTACTAACCCTAGAGAAAAGTTTAAGAGAGTGGGAAACTATATGAAATGCTGCCTCATTGTTGATTTTTTATTTTTTTCCCTCACCTTCTACTTACTTTACTTGAATGTAAAAGTGATAAAGCTGCATTGAGATTAGTCTATGCATGCCTAGACCCAAAATCAAAGATTTCTCTTATATTTTTCTCAGATGTGCACTAGCCAACTTGGGAAATGTGCTAGTTGACTGTGTTCTAATCTGGCCCCCATGCTTGCAATGTTCCTCATATGATATAGTGTGCCACAGCCATTTGGAAAACAAAAACAAAAGAAAAAACAAACAAAAAAACAAAACATGGCAATTTAGCTTGGAAAAGACTTTTCAGTGAAGACAATAGTTGTAATTTAATTACCTACTTGCCTGGTACAAGAATTATAGCTCTTGATTAAAAATTATAATGCTGAAGTTTTAGGCTGCACAGATTCAACTTTTTACATAGTGGCTTGGTCTGAAAATGAAATTAGTGAGATGTCTATGGTTTTCAACATGAGAATTATATACCTTTAAGAAATTGTGTCCTCTCTTTGACTTTCAGATACTGATGACTCTGTTTATCCAAAGTGTGTAATATCATATTAGTATACACTACAGTATCTGATTTACTGGTATCTTTGTTTGCTACAATGAAAGGACATATTCTAGAAATAGCTACAACACACATGTGGAATCTCACAGTCACATAATCAACCATTTTACTAAATACAAGCATTTTCATTCACATACAGCTAAATAAAGATTTTTTTCACATTTCATTACAGTGCACAACAGAGTGAGGCAAAGTATACAGTACATTTTGTTCGGGAATATAAGACAATCTAATCCAACATGCAGTTGTGATCGTTGTTACAAGTTAATCTTTTCTTTATCTATGTAGTAAAATAGCTTTAAAAGCTTTATCCTCAGTATTCTATGAACTCCTGATTTTTCACACTTATATTCTAAAACCAACTTATTGCAGTGACAACAGCACTGAATTCTACTAAAATGATTTTTAAAAGATTTTTCTAGAACGTATTGAAGTAGTTAAGTTCAGCCACCTCTGCTGCATCTATGTTGGGTATTTTGAAACACGTGTTAAAAGATCAGAAATGGGAAAGGATATATTTTAGTCAAGAAAACTGTAGCTGTGTTTTATTTCTATGCCCCCCCCCAAGTTGAAAAGAATCTAGTCAACTCACATTTATCCATGGGATAATCTTGGCTTAGGAACCATCGAGACATGAGTATAGTTGTTGAAATTTTGAGTTAATCTACAAAAAACGTTGTTTGCCTTCTACAACCAAGAAGCTGGCAATTTAAACTATGTGAAATGAATATAGAATAAATGATCACTTCACCTGCAGTTGATGATGTGAACTGGTCCAAGATGATTTGCTTATTCAAGTTAGAGCAAAGGTGGCAGAATGGTCTTCCATAATCTTTAGTATTTGGTTTTATTTTAGCTGAAACAAATTCCCAGATTTTCCAACCATGCATATTCATATTGAACTTGAACAGGATATTGCAAAAACAATTTGCTGGTCTTTCTACTACAATGGATATGAGAAACTTGACTCTAATCAGAATAGTTTTCTTGCTGTGAAAAGTATGGCTTTTGCCTTGCTGAACTGGCTACAATCCAAAAATTAATTTAAAGCATCACTTCTTTTCAAGAAGATAATGAAATTCTCATGTCAGCCATTCTAATTTGCTGATGTGGTAAACTGTCTGTGGACCTGAGAATTAAGAGCTAACTCTCTCCGGTAAACAGGAGCCCAGAGTTGGTACATAGCAGACAGGTGGCCAAGGTTATTGTGGGGTGAGTACTTTGTCCCCATCCCACTCCACATTGTTATATTTGGTTCCTTTCAATAAAATGTTCATAGTATTTGTGAGAAGAACACTTAGAAACCCACACAGTTTTAATGTGTTTTCAGTTGTGCAATTAATTCCTTATTTAACATCCTCTTGTCAATAATACCTGAATAGGCTTTACCTTTGATTCATTCCTAGATTCTTGCATGATTATAGCTGAACTGTAAAACAACAAGGAAAACATATCCTCTCATGTACAGAACATTAATTTATAATCACCTGATTTCCAAAGTTAACAAATTAGTTATTTATTCATGTGACAGCATTATGATCCAGTGAAAAAAGCTAGGAATCAGGTAGACTTGGTTCTTGCTTTCTTGTTCTGTAAAATGGGGTAAAAAATTTCACAGACCTATTACAGAATTAATATGCAGGATTTTTAAGGGTTCCAGGGCCACATGTTGAGCAAATATTCAGCACAGAACTAATGATCAAGGGCTTGACTCAGGGTTTTTTGTAGACAATCTCTGTGTTGTCACTGTCAGACACCTAAAGAAGTAGGCAATATGCTTACTCCAGATTGTGGCTCCCTGATGCAGTGAAAGCTCAGGCATGGTTAGAGGTCAAAGAATGTAGCCTTTGACTTACAATGTTTCCTTCTCCTTACATGGTCATTTTACATGGGACAGTTTTTTTTTTTTTCACACCGTTGGTAACTGTATCATGAGAGCGTATACTTCCTCAATTGTGATTAATAACAGAGTGTGAATGACTTCCCTTTTCATATATGAATCATATCAATTTTACTAGAATGCTCAACCTTGAAAGGGCTTTATCAAATAGCTGATTCATATGGGCCTTTCATTTTACAGTTGAACTGTTAGAAGTGAATAACTGTGTTTGTACCAAACCCAGCACACATGGTATTATCATTGAATAACTTGATATCATACTATTTTTTTCAGTTATCCTAATTATCCTCAATTTGTTACTTGTTTTCCGTCTATGTGTCTTTGTGGTCACCACCTCTGAAAAGTTGAAATACCAAGAAACAGTTTTTCTCTCTGTATGTTTTTTTTTTCCTGGAACCTAACTTCCAAAACCCCCAGACCCTTAATATGTGGTCCTTCACAAAGGACACACAGAACAATCATTGCGAGCCTGGGTCATAAAACAATGTCTGATCTAGCCAATGTCATCAATTTAGTCCCTCAATCAAAGCACCCAGGCTCCCTATCTACCCACACTTGAGCCTGTCAGAACTCCACCTCTAGGAAGAAGGCTCATTTGTTATCCAAAGGTTGAGATCTCTTCAGTCACATAAAGATTCTATTTATTTCGATAACTTTTAAGTTCAAGTGGGTGGGTATGTTTTGAAAATGGAAGGATTGACTAGCACAAACATCTCCTCTCTGATTTGATAACCTCTTCCGAAGAGTGAACCACATTTGGTACAAATCCACTCTTCACCCCTTCCCAACCCTCTTGGATTGAAATCTCCCCCCTTTTAACCAGCTCATATATGTCTCTTGTCAGGTCTGTGAAGGCTTTCTCCACATTAATGGCATCTCGGGCTGACGTCTCAATGTACTTCATGCCGTATGCAGCAGCCAGTTTCTCGGCCTCGTGGCGAGTCACTTGCCTCTGTGTATCCAGGTCACACTTGTGACCCACCAGAACAAATACAATTTGGTAGGGCTGAACGTGTACTTTGGTCTCTTCTAACCACTCATGGACATTCTGGAAGGACCTGCGGTTGGTAATGTCAAATAAGAGAAGACCACCTACTGAATTCCTGTAGTAGGCACGAGTGATGGATCTAAAACACAAGAAAGAAGTAAAGAATAAAGTTCTTGCCCAAAGTCCTTCACTCCAGCGAACTCAGTGTTGCTAGTGTTCCTGATTACTGACAGTCCTTCAGTAAATATAAATGCCATTCTATAACAATAATGATAAATTTTCAATTGGGTAAAATGTTAAGATGGACCTTCCTAGAATGAATGCTTATGAACTTTCAGGTGTTTTCCCTTTGTCCAGCCATGGAAAGAATCCCTAGGAGATGACTGAGTTCTATTTTCCATCACAGCTAACTCTCCCACTTCCAAGCTGAATAACTAAAACACAATTCCTCTTCTGCAAAATAAGGCATCTGAGTTACAGAGTAACTATAAGACAAAATGAAATAGTGGGCATTTATTTTTTTTTTTTGATATCGAAAATTCACTGCAAGTGCTAGTGGTTTAAAATAATTTTCAAAAATAAGATGATTTTATTATAATCAAAAGATTATAAATGTAATTGATGACTCAAGAAAATATCTTGTAAAATATTTCATTTTTCTATTTATCATTGCCCCATTTCTTTGTTTCCATTATTGCTATTATTTTTTCTAGCAGGGTTCATCAATATTTTCTGTGAAGATAAAATACAATTTTGTTTTGTATTTCTTACGTTACATGGAAATGGGAAAATGGGGATGGTAAAATGTTCTGAGCCAGGGCTAGAGAGGTGGCTCAGTAGTTAAAATCGCTGACTGCTCTTCTGGAGGACAAGAACTTGATTTCCAGCACCCACATGGCAGCATACAATCATCTTAACTACAGTTCCAAGGGATCTTACATGCCTTCTGGCCTCCATGGTCACCAGGACTCAGATGATTCACAGATACATATGTAGCCAAAACACCCATACACATAAAATAATAAATTGAAAACTGTTCTGGAGAAAAATACCTATCATCTCTACTCACTGACAAAATTCAAAGAGGTTGACTGAGTAGGGACTAGCTGGGAGACTCTGCCAAAACAGTCAAAGCATTCCCATAAAGTTGTATTAATTAATTTGAATCATATAATTAGGTTATTTCCTAAAGCATACTTGTACATTTTTGTACTTTTCAAACAGAAGAAACATCACATATTTTAATGTCTTGAGTTGATGAGCATCATTATATATATTCATAGTACTTTGCTTAAGAATATAGGAGCTTATGAAAGGATAAAAAAATTGCCTTTTTATAGAGGCAAATTATTTATATTATTCACTTGCTTTAGATTACTTCAATTTTTGAAATCTATGTCTACTTTTAGGATTTCTATCTTCTCAGATTGGTATGATAAATAATGAAGAGCTCTATAGTTGAAAATTTTAAGGGAAAATGGCCCAATGTTAAGGGGGAAATGTCCAGGAAATTTTAGCCCAAGCTAAAGGATGGTATGGGTAGGCCTTACAAATGAGTTCAAGACTCATTTATCTTGATTAGTCCTGGGAGATTAGTCCTGGGGAATGAAAATATTCCCTATTACATTGTTTGAAGATTCATGGAGAATGATATATCAAAAAATGTTCTGATTTGTGAAAATGTTTGAGACATCAATGAGCAATCTATCAAAACTCTAGAACATATTTAGTGGTTTATATTTAGCACAGGAAGTCTCAATGTTTTAAGCACAACATAAAGCTACATAGAACTAGACACCTCCCACAAATAAAAGAAATCTTAACATGAAAAGATAAATGACAAACTAGGGAAATATCTTACAACATACATGACATAAAAAGGGTTTTTTTTTATTAGACTTAATTCCAAGCTAACCTTCAACTACTCATGATCCTCTTACTTCAGCATTCAGAGGGCTGAAATTATAAGTGTGTGCCACCACTTTGGTGTTGGGGTTATTATTTTTAACATGTAAAGAATCCTACACATCAATACTGTATAGTACATAATGAGTAGTAAATATGAACAAGCTGTTCAAACAAAGACCCCAGCAAACATATACAAGATACTTTTCTTTATTTATGAGAACTTGTATGAAGTATTTGCCAAAGCTTTGTACAAGTGGGAAGTTAGAATCAACTTTAGTTTGTAAGTATTTATTACCTGTATCCTTCTTCAATGACCTAATCAGTATTTTCTATGCTAAACTAATCTTCAGTGGAGAATGAGTAAATGATCATAAATGTGGGGTATAGAGTCCTTTTGCTCTGGTTTCTGGTGCTCTACCTTACTTAAGTTCAAACTGTTCTCTGCAAAGTTTTTATGTAGTTTGTTTTCTGTCACTTTTGTTTTTATTCATGCTGTTTCCCATCTCTGGGGATTTCCTGTCTTTGCTTGGGCTTCATCTTCTCCAGTTAAACTTCTCCCCTCTGTATCCACACATAAAAATCACAAATACATACTAAAAGGAAGAACAAATAATTGTGAGAGAAAAATAAACATACTCACTGATTACCTAATAAGTACCCAGTGGTACAGTAGGGAGTGGCATATAAATACAAACAACAAAACAATCTTTTGTGTGTTGCTTCTGTATATGTTTCTTCTGAGCATACTAGTACTGAAGTTCCAAGAGGTCAGGGACAATATTTAAATTATATTGCATTCTCTTATGTGAGTAATCTTACACTATTTCCTCAGAAACAGTTCTACTCCAGCAACTAAATGAATGGTGGTTCCAAGAGAGAATCAATTACTCATTCTCTAGTTCTCTATTAGAACATATTCTCTCTCTCTCCCCAAATATAAACAGATGTAGAAAGAAGTCAATATACATCTATCTAGTTTATTCACTTACATATCTATATATTCCAGTTATGTTTACTTGGAAATATTTTTTTAAATATGGAACATAGGCTCTGATTTTGATAAATTATATATTAGTCAATCCAGATGATTTATTAGCCACCAAAAAGCAGGTTGATGGAGTTGTGGTGCAAACAATGTGTTAATGAATGGCTTTCCCCTGCCTGGGTAATTCTTTCCTGCACTAAACTCCTAGCTAGCTCAAAGTGAGCTTGACCAGAAGCCCAGACCCTTGCTTGTATTCTCTGCATCCTGAAAAGAAACAAGGAAGTACTTTTTCCCCAGGGACCAGATAAGCCCCAAAGACCCTCCCACTGCTCGCGCGGGCCCATGCTGCACTCCCACCTGAACCTCTCTTGACCCGCTGTATCCCAGATCTGGAGCTTGATGCGTTTTCCTGGTTCGATCTCCACCAAGCGGGAGAAAAAATCTACCCCCACGGTGGGGTCTGAAACCTGAGCAAAGCGGCCCTCCGTGAAGCGGCGGATCAGGCAGGACTTGCCCACCGTAGAATCGCCGATGACAATGAGCCGGAACTGGTACAGCCAAATGGCCTCCATGGCAGTGGCCTGGCAGGACTCTTCAGCCTGGGCCTGGGGAGGCGGAAGGGGGCGCCCCACCAAGGCCTTAGCTCCGATCAGCCCTTATCTGGCTCGGCCTTGAGCACATCACTGGCCTGGTAGCCTGAAGCAAGGTAGGCCCAGGCGCTGGGTTAGCGGATGGATGGATGCTGCACTCGCAAAGGTGATGAAATGGCAGCAGCATCAGCACCACGCACTCTGACTCATCACCAAAAACGGGGTTACTGTAATTCCTCGCGTAAATGCGACACTAGCTCCACCACACTGTTTGTAAGAGGAGCGCATACAAAAACGGACAGGAGACTAGCATATTCCCTTTTTAATCACATCAGATACTCTTAAATATTTCTCTGACATTAAATTTGCAAGTATAATTTATTTCCATTAAAGCTAGAAAAACAATACCAAAAAGTCCGTAATTAAATAATTGTCTACATGTTTTTATGCTTAGACAAACATTCAACTATTATGCATATACATGTGTATTTACTGCTATTTCTTTAAAAAAGACAAAAATTTACTTTTAATCTGTTCACCTTCCCCACCCCCACCCCCCATGGGAGAGCGCAAACTCAGAGCTCTCATTACCACAAATTATGCAGATGAGTTTTCCCACATTTGGGGAAATCACAACACATACTGAGTGTAATGGATAAATATCGCCTGGGTAGACCATAGTATCTTTTCAGCTAGTTAAGTATCTCTTTATGTTTTTGATAATAGTCTTTCCTACCTCGATGAGGTGATATTCTGTTGTGATTTGCATTTTCTTTATATTAATGATATTGAATATTTTTCATATTCCTTTCTTGACGGCCTGTATTTTGAGACACACCTGTTTAGATTTAATGTTTTTTTTAATTGAGTAATTTTTATTTTGCTATTGAGTTTCTGTAACTCCTGTGTTTTGGATATCAATTCTTTGTCAGATATATGTGTTATACATATTTTTCATACTGTTGAGTATTTCCTTTTTTATGAAACCCTCTTTAATTTTACATAACTGATTTGTCTGTTTTTATATTTGCTTCCTGTTCTTTTGGAGGCTTTAAAGAAAAAAAACATTGTTTATTGCAATGTTCTAAAGCATTTTCTCTGTATTTTCTTCAAGGAGATTAATAATCTCAGGTACTTCATGTCAGTATTTAATACATTTGAGTTGATCCCTGTAATGTGTGAGAAATTGGAGACTAGCTTCATTCTTCTGCATTTGAATAGCTTATATTTCAGCACTATTTGTATATAAAAAAACAAAAAAAAACCTTTTTCTCAGTGTGTGTCCATATTATTTTTGTTAAATCATTTGGCTTCGGATGAATGGTTTACTTTTTAGCTCTCTTTTGTTCTATTGCTGCATGTGTTTGTATTTATGAAAAATTCAGGTAGCATTCTACTTCTGGCTTTCTTCCTTTTGCAAAATGTTGATTGTCCTATTCTTTTTGTTCCATATAAAATTTGGATTTTCTTTTTAAATTTGTGAATAATGTCATTGGTATTTTAATACATATATATATGTATATAGTTTTTCTGTATGTGTATGTGTGTATCTTTGAGAGTGAGTGGGACATATATGTAGGTGCTGGAGGAAGTTGGAAGCTCCCCAGGAGCTGGAGTAGCAGGTACCCAATGTTAGTTCTTGGAACTGAAATTCAAGTACTTTGGAGGAGCAGTAGTAGTCTTAACCACTGAGCCATCTCTCCAAACACTTAAAATGTCATTAGTATTTTGATAAATATTACATTCAGTCTGTAAATTTCTTTGGTTAATGTAGACATTTAAATAATATTGATTCTTTCAATTTTGTAATATAGGATGCATTTTCAATTTTGTTTCCTGTGTCAACTTCTTTCACTAATGTTTTATAATTTTCAGTTTAGAGCTCTTTCACCTAAATTTGTTACTAGGTATTTTACTTTGTATAGATATTGTAAATCAGATTTCTTTCTTGATTTCTGTTTCAAACAATTAACTATTAGTATGTGATAATTTTAATTGTCAATATGATTGTGTTGAGAATTGCTCAGGAGATTAATGAAACATATACTTCAGAGTGAGTATGAAGGGTATTTTCAGGCAGGGCTAACTAGGAGAAAAACCAGCCCTGGGTGTGAACAGAATATTTTCTAATAGAAAATTCACCACTTCTTCTGTCTCCTCTCATTCCCCCCATCTCCTCTTCTACTCTCCTCTTCTCCTTTCTCTCTCATTTTCCTGGCCATCTCAATGTGATGTGAGCTGCTCTGTGCTGCTACTCAAATGATGGAATGGGGAATAAATCTTTTCTCCACTTCCATTCCCATCAGATAGTTGTCAAAGCAATGAAAAATGTAACACTACCATTTTGTATACTAATTTTTTGATAATTTTTTATTTAAAATTGAAATAAGCTTGTTTTACATGTCAATCCAGTTCCTGCACCCTCCCTTCCTCCCCTGTCCCCCATAACCCCCATCCCCTCCCCATTCTGCTCTCTAGGGAGGATGAGGTCTTCCATGGGAGATCTTCAGAGTCTGTCATATCATTTGGAGCAGGGCCTAGGCCCTCCCCCATGTGTCTAGGCTGAGAGAGTATCCCTCTATATGGAATGGGCTCCCAAAGTCCATTCGTATACTGGGGATAAATACTGATCCGTACCAGAGGCCCTACAGACTGCCCAGGCCTACTAACTGACACCCACTTTCAGGGGGTCTGAGTCAGTACAATGCTGGTTTCCCAGCTATCAGTCTGGAGTCCATTAGATCCCCCTTGATCAGGCCAGCTGTTTATGTGAATTTCTCCAGCCTGGTCTTGACTCATCACTCCTCCCTCTATGCAACTGGATTTCAGAAGTTCAGGTCAGTGATTACCTGTGAGTGTCTGCTTCTGTCAGCTACTTTATGAAGGCTCTACCATGGCATATAAGGTAATCATCAATCTCATTGTAGGAGAAGGGCATTTAAAGTAGCCTCTCCAGTATTGCTTAGATTGTTAGTTAGGGTCATCCTTGTAGATCTCTGGACATTTTCCTAGTGCCAGATTTCTCTTTAAACCTATAATGACTCCTTCTATTATGGTAGTTCTTTTCTTGCTCTCCTCTATTCTTTCCCTGACTCAATCTTCCTGCTCCCTCATGCCTACCTCTCCCCTCCTCTTCCTCTTAACTCCCTCTCGCCTCCCCCAATGCTCCCAATTTACTTAGGAGATCTTATCCCTTTCCCCTTCACCGGGCGACCATGTATGTGTCTCTTAGGATCCTCCTTGTTTCCTAGTTTTTCTGGTGGTGTGGATTGTAGGGTAGTAATCCTTTGGTCTATGTATAAAATCTATATATGAGTAAGTATATACCATATTTGTCTTTTAGTGATTGTGTTACCTCACTCAGGATCAGACTACTATACCCAACAAAACTTTCAATCACTATAAATAGAGAAACTATGATATTCCATGACAAAACCAGATTTAAGCAATACATATCCACTAATCCAGCCCTATAGAAAGTTCTGGAAGGAAAACTCCAACCCAAGGAACTCAACTACACACACACACACACACACACACACACACACACACACAAACACAAGCATAGGCAATAGATAATCCCAATTTACCAGCAGCCAAAAGAAAAATGGGGGGGGGGACCCACAAACAATACTACTATCAACAACAAATCCAAAACAAAGGATAATTAGCAATCAATGGTCATTAATATCTTTTAATGTTAATGGTCATAATTCGGCTATAAAAAGACACAGACTAACAAAATGGATACGAAGATAGAATCCATCCTTCTGCTGCATACAAGAAACACATCTAAGCTTCAAAGACAGACATTACCTCAGGGTAAAGGATTGGGAAAAGATCTTCCAATCAAATGAACCCAAGAAATAAGAAGGTGCAGCAGTACTAATGAATGTCTAACAAATTAGACTTTAAACTAAAACCAATCAAAAGAGATGAAGAAGGTCATTTCCTATAAGTCACAGGAGAAATTCATCAAGATGAAGTGTCAATTCTGAACATCTATGCCCTAAATACAAAGGTACTCATATTAGTAAAAGAAATATTACTAAAACTCAAATCGTACATGAAACCTCACACACTTATAGTGGGGGATTTCAGCACCCCACTCTCACCACTAGACAGGACCACCAGACAGGAACTTAACAAAGAAACAAAAGAACTAACAGAAGTTATGACCCAATTGTTTTAACAGACATCTATAAAACATTCCATCCAAACACAAAAGAATATACCTTCTTCTCAGCACCACATGGAACCTTCTCTAAAATTGATCACATACTCGGCAATATAGCAAACCTCAATAGATACAAAAAATTGGAATAACCCCCTGTATCTTTTCAACCCACCATGCTTTAAACTTTGAATTCAACAACAATGCACATTTCAGAAAACCTTCAAATTCATGGAAATTGAACAATGCACAATTGTTCCTGGGTTAAGGAAGAAATAAATAAAGAAATGCAAGATTTCTTAGAATTCAATGAAAAGGAAGACACAACATACCTGAATTTATTGTGCACTTTGAAAGCAGTGCTATAAGGAAAGTCCATTGCACTAAGTGCCTATATATAGAAAATGGAGGATAGTCATATTAGAGAATTAACAGCACAACTGAAAGCTCTAGAACAAGAAGAAGCAAACTCAACCCAGAGGAGTAGATGCTAGGAAATAATCAATTTGAGGGCTGAAATCAATAAAATAGAAACTAGGAAAACAATTCAAAGAATCAATTTAACAAAGAGTTGGTTCTTCGAGAAAATCAACAAGATAGACTAACCTTTATCCAAACTAATGAAAAAGCAGAAAGAGAACATGCAAATCAACAAAATCAGAAATGAAAAGAGGGACATAACAACAGACACTGAAGAAATCCAGACAATTTTCAGGTCATACTTTGAAAACCTGTACTCCACAAAAATCGAAAATTCAAAGGAAATGAACAAATTTCTGGATAGATATCACTTACCAAAATTAAATCAAGAGCAGATAAGCAATTTAAATAGACCTATAAGCCCTAATGAAGTAAAAGCAGTCATCAAAAGTCTCCCAACCAAAACAAGCCCAGGGCCAGATGCTTTCAGTGCAGAATTCTACGAGAAATTTAAAGAACAACTAATACCAGCACTCTTTAAGGTGTTCCACACAATAGAAGCAGAAGGTTCATTGCCAAACTCTTTTTGTGAGGTTACAATTACCTTGGTACCCAAGCCTCACAA